CTCCTTGCTGTTTCTTGAACACACTTGTGCCTGCCTCAGGGCCCGTGCCACTTGGTGTTTCCTCTGCCACAATTACTGCACGAAGGTAGCTACAGGTTTGCTCCTTCACCCCTTTTGGATATACTCAGATGTCTCCTTTTTAGTGAGGACTTCCTGAAGCACTCTATTTAGAATCACATATCTTCCACATTTTATTTCTTTCTCTTTGTTTTAAGGTTCTTCATAGGGCTTATTACCCTTTGTCAATATATATATATATTTTGTTCCTTTTTTTTTACATCCTCACCTGAGGCCATGCTGTTTGTGTGTGTGTGTGTGTGAGAGAGAGAGAGCAAGGTAAAAGGAAGATACAAAAAACTGGTGATAATTATATATACGTAATTTTGTTCCATGATGACTATGTTAGAAAGAGGAGGAGGAGGAGGAAGGGAGGGAGGGAGGGAGGGAGGGAGGGAGAGAGGGAGAGAGATGAAAGAGAGAGAGAGGAAAAAGAAATATCGATTGGCTGCCTTCCATATGTGTCCTGACTGGGATTGAACTGGCAACCCCTCGGTGCACAGGACGACACTCAACCAACTGAGCCACTCTAGCTAGCCTGTTTTACTCGTTTTTTATTATCCATTTTCCCTCAGATTTTAGTTCTTGGATGGCAAGGTTTTATTTGTTGTGGTTGCTTCTGTATCTGGAACTTTACCTACCACATAGTAGATGTTCAACAAATATCTGCTAAATGAATGAATGAATGAATGAATTTTCCATATTGTCCCAGGAGTGATCTTTCCCAAATCCATTTCCTAAGTTCTCCCCTTCTTTAAAACTGTTAAGAGATGGATTCTCTTTGTCTGTAGACTAAAGGACAACCTGCTAAGCATACCTGCTAAGTTCCATCTCACCCTGGCTGCTTTTCCTGCCCCATTTCTTATTGCCTCTCTTGAAGCACCCTCAGTTCTACCACAATTAGCTTCTTGCTGTCTTTTAAGCCCGTTGCTTAACCCAGTGGTTGCCAACCAGTGGTCCGAAGACCACTGGTGATCCATGAGGTCTGAAAGATTGGCGACTGCTCCTTTAAGGAAACCTTTGGAGCAGCGGGCGACCCACATGCCTCTGCCTTAGATGATACCTGGAATGCGCTTTCCTTCTGTCCACTTGCACTCAGGTTGCCTTTTCTATCAGGTGTCTCTCAGTCCCCTTAGGCAGAAGTAACCTCTATATCCAGTCTGCTTTATGACATTTGGCATAGATTTCTCATATTGACCTATTGTAACTGCAGCACAGTGTATTTTTATCTCCCCAATTAGAATATGAACTCCTTGAGGCCACTTCTTACTCATTCCTTTATTTCCATTTCCTAATCTGGTACCTAGCCTATAGTAGACACTTAGATGTTTGATGAAGGAATGAATAAATTAATTAATAGATTGTCTTTAGAGTTTTGTCTACCTGAGAACATGCTATATTTTTGTAAAAGAAATGTCTTTAAGAGGTGTAAGAGAAAAATTATTTTTAATAATTTTGGTCAGAATTTTTATATCTTTAAGCTGAAGTACTATTTTTAAGTATGCTAACATGAAAAATCCTTAAGGTGTACTCTTAAACTGCATAACCATGGTAACTAAGGGAATGTGCTAACACCCTCACTTGCTCTTTTGGAAATTTGATATTATAAATGTTAAATATATTAGGGATTTTTCAACTACAGTACACTCTCATTTTTTAATGACTAGTGTGAGAGCAGAGATAACCAAACCTTTTATTTAACACTAAAGTGGCTGATTGTAAAGCTTCATTCTGATTTTTTAACACTGGATGCTATTGTAAAGCATTTTTATATTAACTGAAGTAGTTGATATTGTTAGAGGTTTTTGGCCAGTGATGCAGGCTGTGAAAGAATTCACAACTAAAAGAAGAGATGGATGGAGAGAGGAAGTTTATTTTACTTTCCCCAAAGGGAGAGGTCTGGTGCATTGCTAATCAATACAAGGACAAAGAACAAAAGCAGCATTCTCCCTTTTAAAGCCTTGGCTGCTGTTGCTAGGTGACAAAGAAGGGAGAGGGATTTGGGGGCTGAAATTGTGCAGACATCAGAGTGGTTGTAGTTTGTTTGTTCTTCAGGAGACAATACAGGCAGATGTCCTAGGGAGGCAGCTTATCAGTATTTTTCCAAAGTCTGTAAAACATTCTTAGAGCAAAAGTTAAGCAGAGTTCAAAAGTTTGAAGAGGATAGAGGTAGGGGACTTTCTATTAGAGACTTCTTGGGGAAATTATCCCTGAGTTGTGAAAATAGCAAGGAGGAGAAGTATGCAAGATTGTAGCCTTGAGAGTAGCTTATCTTGTCTTGCAGTTTGAACAGGGGCTGTTTGAATCAGAGGAGCTAACAATCTTGGGATTAAATTCCTAGGTGCTTCTCATAAACTGTGGCAGGCCACAGCAAAGAAAAAGAAAAGCCTTTTCCTGTCCTAATGGGAATGTTTGAAATTCATGCGAAATCATTACTGAATGAAATATGAGGCCTGAACTGTGCCATGCTTGGGATGAGCTTAGAATGCTATACCTTACAAAGCTGCATTATGGTTTAACAGGATTCTTTTCATGGGAATCTCTCGTTGGAGTCATTTGTCAAACATTTTCCATGATTAAGGTAGGAATTTTTCATGGTCCCAGGTATAACGGATGGGAATTGCTGGTCATGTTTAACTTCTGATACTTTCAGCCATACCAGCTGAAATAATCTTATCCGCAATTCTTTTTTCTTCCTCATATCCATCAGTTGCCAAGTCCTTTGAAGCAAGTGTTGATCCCTTCCCTCCGTTCTTTTTGCCAATAACCTTACTGTAAGACTTTATCTTTTTGTAGGTAGATTACTGTCCTTCAACCACTTTACATACTGCTGCCAAATTAATCTTTCTAAAGTCATGTTACTGTGTTGCACATAAGAAAGTTCTACTGCCTTTAGGAGCCAGGCCAAACACCTCAAAGTGTCAATCTTTGATATTTGGAAGCAAGACTTCCAGCAGGACCCTCTAATAAAACTGGGCTGGCTTCCTCAGGTTCTGTATGTATTTCTGCTCCTTTTGCATTCATGCCTTTGTTCATAGTATTCCTTTTTTTCCATTTGAGCATTATAACCCCCTATGCAGTTGTCAAGTGCTCCACTTATTTTGGCAGTAAATTATATGCTATTTTGAGTTGCAACATTTTCCTTCTTATATTTAAATATTGTCTCCATGTTTAGAATGCAAATTTGTTGGAAACAAAGATGAACCAATGTTTGCTTATAAATGAGTTATTTGAAACTTAGAATGTGTTTTTAATAGATAAAAAGGATATTTCATAAGTGGTGGTCATGCTTTCAAACTAGTTCCTGAAGGGTCATTTAACCCCTGTCATAACTGAAGTGTAATATTAATAATAGCAGATCAGAGTTTCATAGAACTATGAAATACATGAGGAAGGAGAAATCAATTCATTCTTTCTTCCTTGGGACATACAGAAATGACCTTAAAAGAAATGTTGAAATAAGCAAAAAGTAGTATGCCTTTTGCATCCTCCCAACATCCATTTTGAACCCTTTGTTAATGTCATAGAGTCCCTTTCTCTGCTCCCTTAGGTGCTTAGGGCCACTATACTGCCCTTATCACTCGCTGTGACATTTTTTAAGAGCTAGTTGCTTCAAAAGTTATTTACTCTGGTTTTCATTGAAAAACCTTATCTCCTAATGTTAGTGATCTACGTTAGGAATTAGGCCAGTAATAATCTGATTTATTAAATTCATTCTAATGTACAGGCCACATCTTCGTTCTCTGTTAAGCTTTTTTTTTTTTTCATTTTGAAGAGGCTGACTTTTTTTTAAAAAATATATATATATTTTATTGATTTTCTACAGAGTGGAAGGGAGAGGGATAGAGAGTCAGAAACATTGATGAGAGAGAAACATCGATCAGCTGCCTCCTGCATGTCCCCCTCTGGGGATGTGCCCGCAACCAAGGTACATGCCCTTGACTGGAATTGAACCTGGGACCCTTCAGTCCCCAGGTCGACGCTCTATCCATTGAGCCAAACGGTTAGGGCATTGAAGAGGCTGACTTTTAATAATTACTGGTATTTGTTACATATTCATATGTGTTGGACCTGTACTAAGTGCTTTAGAATAATTTTCTAATTGAATCCTCATAACAGCCTTAAAGATGAAGGCATTATTATTGTCATTTTAAAGATGAGAAACTGAGGCCCAAAGAGATTAAGAAGTGTCTCAAGGTCACATAGCTAATAAATGGGAGCCTGATATGTCTGATTTCAGAGCTTATAAACTTTGCCATTACATTATGCCATTACATTTCTGCCAAGATCATTTTAAATTCAAGTTAGCAAATATTTATTGGTATTTACATTTCCTAAGTTCTGTACTAGCAACTCTGCTATTGGGATTTGGGGAAGTATAAGAAAACAAGTAAATTATTCTGGCAGTATGGGGGAAGGATTCTGAACAGCAAGCTGCTACCCAAGTGACTCATTGACATCTCTGTGGGTCAGCAGCCTAATTGCCCATTAATCTTTTTCTGTATTTCAAAAGCCATAGTTTACTTAAAGCTCCAAGCATTTTCAGGATATATTAACAGTTCAGCTTTGTATAAACAGAAAAAAATTAAAAAACAGTTTATTGTACATAAGGGCTATTTTTAAGTCGAGAGTGACCTGTGTTATGTTATATCCTTCCTTCATTTAACCTCCAGCTCCCCCAAAAACATGTATACACAGCTTTTAGTACAGTGAAAACACTTTAATTGATAAACATTTTTATAGATTAAAAAGACTATCTTCAAGAATGTTTTAAATGTTAATTGGTTTCTATTTATTTTTATTTGTAATTCATTAACAGTGCATATTTATTTAAGTTTGGCCTTGTCCTTCAGGAATAATGAATTCTGCTATGATACCCATCTAAAGGGACTTGCAGCAAGTTGAAACAAGACTCTTAACAGGCTGTCTTTGCCTTTTAATAGGCACAGTCATTGGCAGCATCACTTTCTACCAGACAGCTGTTGCGAATTTCTCGTCGGCTGTCACAGTACCCTAATGAAAATCTTCACAGTGCTGTCACTAAAGCCTGCCTTTCCAGGTAACCATATTCTCCCGTCTTACTGAATTCAAGTTTCTGCATCTTTGCTAAAATAGTAACATAAGTTTAATTAATAGTCTGTAAAAGTATTGCTCTGAATATGTAGCTGTTTCAGCCTTGTGTTCAACTTTCAGAACATATCTTATTTAGGTATAACAACAATTTTAAGAGGTACTTTATAGATAAGAAAACTTCTTAAGTCACATGAGGGAAGGTGGGGTCACATAGTGGTAAATAAGTAAAAGTATGTTTGAGAATTGAACACCAGGTTCATGTGTTTTCTGAGTTAGTGTTTTTAAGCATTATACTTAACGAGAGGCTCGGTGCACAAAATTCGTGCATGGGGGTGGGGGGTTCCCTCAGCCCAGCCTGCACCCTCTCCAATACGGGACCCCTTGGAGGATGTCTGACTGCCAGTTTAGGCCCAATCTCCTTGTGTTGTGACTTGAATTTGTTCTCTCGTAGTGTAGCCATCCATAATGAGGCTCCTCTCCAGTGTCTTTACAGTAATTCTTTGAATAACTAGTAATTATGAGAAATAATAAATTCCCTTTAAATTAAAAGAACATTAGCAGGAAGAGACTGGACAAAAATCATATACCTATGGATGAGAGGACAGTGGGAGGGGTAAGGGCCGAGGGTGGGGTGGAAACTAGGTGGAGGAGAGCTATGGGGGAAAAAAAAGAGGTCAACTGTAATAATCTGAACAATAAAGATTTAATTAAAAAAAAACACCAAACATTAGACTTCCAAAGGAAAATTAGGAAAAATGCCTTAAGTGCTTCTTTTTCAGGGTTATAAAATGAAGAAAATATAGACAGAGAAATAGATAGATTCATTACGTACCTAGTATTTTTTTAGTCAGACTTTGTTAATAGAAATAAATAGTCAATGCTAAGCAATGTAAACCACTTTTGGAGCCTAAAGGGCTTTGGATATATTAGAATGAAATAATCACATTTTACGGGTCTTGATATACACCCTGGTAGTTAAATCAACTTTCAATCTCCTTTATTAAAAAAGCAAATAAAAATAAATCAAGTAATGTTAATTGATCAAATATGCACATATAAATTTTAGGTAACCACAAAAAGAATGGAAATGGATCCAGTAGAGGTGGAAATAAGCAAATAGAGAAAACGTGACTCTGTAACCTTCCAAAAGCCAGTAGGTGATGCATACACAAAATAGTTATTTGACTTTTTTGCAAAGGGTTATGGAATGGTAACAAAATAGAGTTTTATTGTGGTTAGTTAATAACACTGGAAAAATGAGCTATTTAATTCAGTGAAATATTTATGAGTATGGAAAGTAAGCATTTTTTAGTTTTTCAAGTTTTTAAGTATGAAATATTTCAAACATACAGAAAAGATGCTCAACTTCATTATTGACCAAGTAAATGAAATTAAGATGATAGCTATCATTTTATACTTTTTTACCTGTAAAAATTAATTTTTTCATGAGTGGAAGGAAGTAAACTTTTTGTTGTTGTTTATTTTTTCTTTATTGTTTAAGGTATTACATATGTGTCCTTATCCCCCTATTGCCCCCCACCCACCCCCACTCGTGCCCTCACCCCCCTAGTGCCTATGTCCTTTGGTTATGCTTATATGCCTGCATACAAGTCCTTTGGTTCTTTGGTTGATCTCTCTCCCTT